TAGTTGTGGTCTATTTCCATGTTCATAAGATTCGTTATTTATTGTTTCGTTCTAATAATATTTGTTTAATGTGTAACCATAATGTTGAGGTATGATACTTCCATTGAAATAAATTTCTAACGGTTTGAATCCAATAACCTTGGCAGAGGAGAAGAATTCGCGCGGAACTGATCAAGAGATGAACATCATCCGACGTCATTTGAAAAAAAAAATCTGCAAAATCGCTTCTACATGGTCGAAACTGGTATTTTTCATTTGGGAAGCTACTATTATTATTATTTAGAAACTTGCCCAGTAATTGTTATTGACGGACAAAAATAATGAATAAGATAATAATTGATTATATCCACATATACGTGCTCAGTTTCAGTTTTTGGTTAAGATCAAATGTTATGAGTTTCAATACTTCCTATTCCGAGAAATCCAATACTTAATTTTCTATGAACCCACAATTTTTTTTCACTAAATCATCAGGATGAACATATTCGTTCACCCGTCATAAATAAATTCAAATTAATAAAATAAACACAAGAAATACCAATAAACTTTTTTATAACTTATTATCAATAATTAGTTTGGCAAAAGTTTTTTTTTTTAATACGTGTCCATTGCGCTTATTTGTTTCAATTTACTAATTTCTTTACAAATTTTAAGAAAAATAAATATTTATAATATTTATATAATTTTTCAGTTTTTTTTTTGTCAAGTCACAAATTATCTTATTCCTGTTTAATCCGTTGAACAGTATTTTGATAGTCATCATCTCTCAAACTATCATTACCTATTTTAATTGAAGTAATTTGCATTTCTCGGAGGGAAATTTTCATTTCTGCTTAAGATTCGTTCATTTTTTTTAATAATTATGTGCCAATAACCAGATTTTTTCTGCAAAGTCATAAACATAATAAGCTGTTCTCGTTATAGACTGTTCGTTGACTTCAATATTTGAATCAAAATATTCCATTCGACAAATTGGAACAATGTATCTTATTAATTCCATATTATTTAGCACATCGACAAATCTAGTTGTGGAACAATAGTTGAAAGAGGAAAATATTGGGTTTTTATATTAGAAATTAAAAGATTTAACGTGGAAAGTAACAGGAGCGAATTTAAATTTACTTATAATATAAATGATATATTTTGATAGTTTTCAAGTTATTAATAAACTATTTGCAAGACTGTCAATTGGCTTCACAAAAGCCAAAATAACTATATATTTTCTTCTAAACAGCATACAAGCTAATTTTGAATACTTTTTAACCCTTAACACTATTATTATCCTTTTAATAAATTATTCTATTTAATTAATCTATTACTTTTACTTATAACATTATTGCAATTATTTTTTTTATCAAAGTTTGGTTTATTATTGTTTTATATATTAGTTTCATATTGCAATTAAATTTATTTGATAATATCGTCATCCTCACAAAGATACTATGAAAATCATGAATTATTCGTAACTTTCAAGTAATGAAAATGGTATTAATTACTAAATATCTATGGGTGTCCCCGACCTTAACGTCAAGCCGAAACAGGATGATAGTATTGACCTCACCTGTCTTGAATAAAATTTAGAAAAAAAATAATGAGCTTTCAAATGCAACCTAGAGGTTTTGTGAAATTATAACCAATTTTCGGTTATTGTGGTTAAATAATAGCACATCTGCTGGAAGTTTTCGAAAATTAAAACTTATTATTGAACTGTGAAATTATAATTTTTTAAACCTCGACTTTCAGAGGATCTCTTTAAAAAAAATGTACTTCAGTGAGTTAGCAAGTTTGATTAAAAGTTGGCGCGTTTAATCAAGATTTTAAAATAGTTAAGTACTTGACAAATTTATTATTGAAAAATTTCGAATTAAAAAGTAAAATATGATAACAGTGGATTGAAGTACTAAACGTACATAGTTAATTTATTTTTACTTTATTGTTTGATAATCTGGAGTTTATCCATATGTATTAAATTAATTATTCCATATTTGAAAGATCGTTTTGAAATACTTTTATCATTAGTTTTGTTAAGAATTGGTCTTAAATGCTTTTGAAATTACTAAATTATTTGCTGTAAGAAAGCACCGGTTATTAGTGCATATTGAGGATTTTTTTTACAATAGCCAAAGTGAATTTGTATCTTAAAATTCATTTATTATTATAAAAATATCCTTTCAACATGGAAGGATACTGATTATTGCACATATTTTCCTTGGTCATAAAAAGTCAGCCCAATTAGATGAATTCTAATAATAAAATCATCAAATATGGATGGATTAGCGATTGGGTTACCATCTAAAAGTAAGAAGTTTCAGTCCAACAGCTCATACGATTCTGATTGCGGTTAAGATATGAGAATAAAAAAATATATTGGTTATTAATCAATTTACCCTTTCAAAAAAAGAACAAAAAGTTAAGATAAAACTACATATCGTACGATTAATGAAAGTATAGATTCAGATTGATTTTATTCTGATGTAATTTATAACTGACCAGCATAAGTCATATCGCAATTTTTGGCGTAACACATACGTCACAAAAATTTCAAACTCGGTTTGTCCGGAGATGCAAACTGTTAAATAACATGTTACGATTTGATTCAAAGAAACACAATACAACATTCGCAAAACCACACACACCTATATAAAAAGACTCATAGTGGGAGAGTCGATGGAAAAATTACATTGTTCATCTTACAAACTTATTTGAGGACAAAGTAACGTAACGCTAAAGAATGCTTGGGCATGGTTATAAAAAAATAGAAATTACACCAAATACGAGTTTTGGAAATAAATAACCCCTGTTGATATTTATTTCAATGTATAACAATACATGTGGATATTTGTTAACAATAGGTGCTGATAAGTAATTAGTTTAATTTTAATTTTATTCATTTTATAAAGCTCGTACTTATTCAGACCAGTTTAATCCAGTTTAAATATCAATTAAAATTTATAAATATACAATGTTATCTTATGACTCAAATTACAGAGGTATCATGTTTACTCAATTTGTTACTCGATTGTTTGGAAAAGGCAAAATAAATATTTAAATTTCTTTAGTGATTTACATAAAAATCTGTATAAATTTACTCAAGAAAATTATCAAGTGTATTAATTGCCAATATCTTTTGTGGTGTTTTTTTAGTCTGATGAAATCTGCAAATATGAAAAAATTTAAATCAACTCCATTAATATTAATAATTTTATAATATTTATATTTCAATTGAGTTACATTGCTATTGCAATATAAATTCATATCTGTTAGGATAGTTCTAGAAATTCAATTGCAAAATATAGAAATATATTTATATTTCTCAGATTAATTGTAGTTGGAAAACTCTGAAATTTCGAATGAAATTTTCCATATTTAAATAAACCTATAACAATCTGAAATTAGTGAACATTCTGCATCAAATCTTTATATCAGGTTGTCAAATATCTCCCTTCCGCTTTTTTGTATGGTTTATAATACAAAAAGGCGAAAGGGAGATATTTGACAACCTTATATATTCTTATTAAAATAGAATTTTTATTAATATATTTTAATAATAATATACCTATATTAAATAGTATTATCAGTATTCTCATTTTAGACCACAGAACCAAATTTTCTGATTTAAAATATTATATTTTACTGAATTTTTATTATTTGCATACAGTTATCGGTACAATATATATATATAATAAAGAAATTAATATTCAACAGTTTTTGAAATAACGGTGAAGTTCATAATTTAGAGAAAATTTGTCTGAAATAAATTTAGTTGAATAGATGAAACAGTACAAATATTGGGAATTAAAGGATAGAAATAAATATAATAGTTTAACATTATTATGTTACATTATAATATAATTAACTGTATATAGCCGATTGGCGTATAATAAATAAATAAATAAATAAATAGATAAATAAATAAATAAATAATTATTGGATTCATCATAACTTATGACGTTATAGTATATCTGGTACAAGTGTCAGTTAATTTCTATCTATCAATTATTAATATTATACTATAATCAATGTCCTGTAATAATAGAAAGTCTAATATGTTCATAAACATCAAAACATTAACCCCATGGATAAAAGATAAAAATAATCATATAGATAAAAAATAGCTATAACAAGCAGAAGTAGAAGCCCAACCTTTCAATATAAAACAAACATTCATATTAATCCAATAAAATCAGTCACAAACTAGTTGTGTATGGCATCGTGCCTTAAGGCAAATTGCTGGAATTTCCCGTACCGTAACAAAATGCTAGAGCAATATTAAATGTTTTTATATAGATTATTATAACATTGTCTAATATTTATAACAGATATATAAACTGAAATACAAAGTTAAAATTAATTATTTAAAATATATAAGTGAGCATTAAAACTTCAGCCAAAATTTAAATTAAAATCTGAATTATTTTCGGCATTCAAAAAAAAAAAAATTGAAGAAAAAATTTTGATATATTTTTTTTCCAAAAGCAATTATTTTGTCAGAACAAGCAGAAAGTTTTGTGAATCATTCAAATCGAATGATTAGTTCTCTCAAGACTACCGTTTTTTGCACATTTAGCTCGGTATCTCTAAAACAGCTGGACCTGCCGTTGCCAAAATCTAATCACCACTTCTCTTAGCTTTTACACTTGCAAATCATGAAACAAAACTGATTGTTTTTAATAAATAAAATTATATCAACTAAAAAAGTCATTTCTTCCATTATCATAGATATCTCTTACAACTTTTACCCCAGCTGTCCGTCTATAAAAAAGGACCGTATTGCAAATTCGCGGTCTGCAGGGTACATTCTACGTCTGTCGTAAAGGTAAACGCCATTGGCCCAAACCGAATCGCGTGTTACCGGTACCGGCTGTCAGTTTGCGAACGGTTTGCGAACTTGCAACACACATAACAATAGTCGTGCAATTTTGTTTAGTTTATTCCCGACAACAATGTGCGTTTGCCGGTCGCCGCATTCGGATGAGAGATGATCCACGTTGTCGTTGATCGATTCGGTGATCATTGATTTACGATATTGGTGACATGTGTGAATTAGTTGTTTAATTAGAATTTTAAGAAGATAGGTTCATAGAAGTGAGTACAATAATAATTTATTTATATTTAACTTCCTGTAGAGTAGTTATAGTAATGGGCCAAAAATTGAAAATGAAAATTTTTGCATTTCTCGACGTTTTAAAGGTTTCTGAACATTTTGGCATACCTCAGAAAAAATGGATGTGTGAGTGTGTGTTTTGTATGTCCGCATTTTTTCGTCCACGTTTTCGGGCGCACGGATCAACCGATTTGAAAACATTCGATCCCTATTGATAGGGAGATGTGCTGATTAGTTTTTGGCAAAGGCAGGTCCAGCCGTTACGGAAATACGGAGCAAAGAGTGCAGAAAATACAAATCGAGTTTTTGAGAGAACGGAATATCGGTTTTGAATGATCTAAAAAAAACTTTCAATTTGTAATGATTGGAAGAATAGGTGATTAGTTTTTGGCAAAGACAGGTCCCGCTATTTCGAAGATACAGAGCTAAATGTGCTAAAAATGGCAGCTTTCTGCTTGTATTAACAAAACAATTGCTTTTGAGGATAAAAAATTATTTCATATTTTTTTATTTTCCATAAAATATTTTTGTAATTTTGAATTAAAAATTCAAAAAATTACCCAGGCTAAGCACAGTCTAAGCGCCACTCTGGTACAAATGTTTACCCAAGTACGTTTAGACTGTTTATGTTTTTCAATTTTGTGAAAACTATTGAAAAATGTGAAAATGCCGCCAAGCTAGGCACAGTAGAAGTAAAAATGTTGCACATAATTATTTGCAAATGTTTAGACTGTGACTATACTGGAGCACTTTTTCAATTTTGTGCAAATTAGGCAACTATTTTTTTTTTTTTGAAATTTAATTCGAAATGAAATGACAATTCTTAATGTTCTGGAGATAAATTGATTTATGATTTACATTTCATTTGCTCAGATATAACAAGATAGCAAAAATAATGAAAGTTACAGTATTTATAATAATATATTTGAAAACGTTTAAAATTTCTCGCATATTTCATTACGGTAAGGGAAGTTCCAGCAATTTGCCTTAAGGCACGATGCCATACACCATTAGTTAGTTAATTATTTAAGAACCAATATATCATGACAAACCCGCCATGCCAAACTATATATACTGATCCACCCTTAGATGTAATTAGAACCCTTTCTATTTCGCTGAATGCTGAATTGTGATTTTTTGTGAAGAATGGTCAAAACTGTTCTTTTTTGTGTTCAATGGTCACTGTTTTCTTGTTTTATATTACATATAAATGTACTGATGTACAATATCTAATAAAGAAGTAGAACAGGGTATCAAAACTTATATACCAATCCATTGGTGAAATGTGTGAATTAGTTGTTTAATCAGAATTCAAAAAAATAGGTCTATAGAAGTGAGTACAGTACTACTTTATTTATATTTAATTAGTTATTTAAGAACCAATGTGTCAGGGCAAACACGCCATGCCAAACTATATATACTGATCCACCCCTAGATGTAATTAGAACTCTTACGGTCTTACTATATTACGCTAACTACTGATATGTGATTTTTTTAAAGGTTGATCAAAACCTTTCTTTTGTTTGTCGTATTAATACAATACACTGTTTTCTTTTTTATGTTACATATATATGTACTGATGTAAAATATCTAATGAAGACTACCCAAGGGTAGACAATTTATGTACCAATCCGTCTTTTCATGTAGTATACAGTTTATGGATTGAAATTTTTTTTGAACTGAAAAATAAACTAACGGTCGAATTAATATATAAATTTATTTAAATATGTACAGTTTTAGGAACAAACTAAACAAATAATTGAAAAAAACTCTAATGTTTTAAATGAAAAAATACGATTATAATTTGTTTCATCTCGACGCGTTTACTGTTAATTAATTGAATATGTTTCAACCTCAATATTTATATATATATATATATATAATATATATATATATATATATATATTATATTAGGGTGACCCTTTTACAATTGATATTTCCAAATTTCTCTGCTTCCAGGGGCTCAAATGCTTCCAAATTAATATAAAAAAATTCTCTGAAAGTTTTTAGTCTTTTTTTCAGATAGTGTTAGAAATCATGTTGAAATATGTGAAGTGTTTTTTTTAATTTTTTTTAAATTATTTTAATTTTGTTTTTATTTTTTTTTTATCATTTTATCATTTTTATTTTAATTTTTTGTCTTAATAATAACTAAGATATTCCGTACTTCAACCCAAGTTCCTTGATTCTTTTTTCTAACACTAAGTAAATACTAATTTTTTTAAATATATCAAATTTTTGTTATATTTTCTTATTTACTTAAAATAAGCAAACACAATGTTCTTCTCAAAATTTTTATTCACTTTTCGATTTTTACCTATGTTATTTCCATAAGAAACTATTTAATAATAATAATTTTTAATAATTTAATTTTCCATAAGAAAATATTTAAATTTTGGATTATACATATATATATATATATATATATTTATATATATATATTAAATAATAAATTATTAAGCAACCAATGCTTGGAAATTCATAATAAATGTTTTTAAAATTGTATAATTTTAAGAAGATAATGTGTCTCATCATTAAGTTACAAAAATGGTAATGAAAATTAATAAGTTGGTATAATGATTATTTTCAAATTGTTTTATATTCACTGATGATGACATGAATTATTTGCCGAAACGTATGAAACAATAATAAATTTTTAAAACGTCTTAACACTTTTTACATTTTATGTATGCATTCCATAAATTTTAATCACACAAATTTCAACATCAAAATTAACTAGCAAGATACTAAAAAAAAATATGTAAAAAATATTATTAACTTCTCGTAGGGTAAGTTATAGTAATCGCAAAAAATCGAAAATGAATATTTTCTGAATATTTGGCAAAAAAGTTCAAAATTTCCAAAATATTTTAAAGTATAAAAAAGTTAAAATTTTTCAAAAATTTTAAATACCTCAAAAATCTATTTTTTTCAAAGTTCTAAAAAAATTCTTATCTTTTTTAAAAACTTTGCCCAGCAATTTGCCTTAAGGCACGATGCCATACACCACTAGTTTTTTTTTTTATAAAAGTCTATTGAGGTTTTTTATATAAGTTTGCTTTTCAAAATTACTAAATTATATTTGCTATTACTATTATGCTTGATTGATTGAGGAGTCTTAAATATATTGACTATGTATGCGTATGTGCATCCCTTATATGCACATAGAGTGCATCCCTATGCACTAAAAACCCAAAAGATTTTTCCACACTAGTTAAATAAAGATTTTTATGTATGAAATGTGTAAATTATATTAATTAATGTGTAAATTATATTAATTTATTTAATTAATTATTTAATTATATTTAATGTGTAAATTATATTAATTATATTAATATAATTACTTAGAGATGTGAATAATAATTATTGAATTAAACTAAAAATCAATAAGCAATTTTTGGTTTTATAATGAATCACACACTTCTATGGTAGAAGATATCTACCATCTGGTAGCAACAATTTAGCTTAAGAGGCTACGTAAGGTTATAAAAAATGTTTTAAGAATTTTCTGTCTTCATTACCTCGATAGTAAAAAATAGAAAATAATGTTATAGTTATACATTTATTCATGATTATACCTTTGATTTCTCAAGAGCATTTAGCCACTAACATTATTTTTATTTTGTATCCTATTATATTTTGTTCGCTACATTTTTACATGTTTGAAAAACAATTGTATGTCAATCATCTTTGATAACAGAAAATTGTCTTACAAGTTTTATTTATAAGAATTTTTTTGAATTTTATATACATATAGATAGATATACATAAAAGTTTAGTTTTCAATCATTTTTCACCTGGATGAATTTCATTAACAACTAAATTTAATCTATGTTACATTTAGCAAATGATTATTTTCTGAGGCCATTTATTCGTTATGTAATTGAAATTGGATCATCCCACGTCCATACTTAAAAGCAATTAGTTTAATTGTTTTCAATAACTTTTTGCATCGAGGTTAATGACGAACTGTGCGTAATTATCAATATTCGCTGCATTTAAGTTTGCATAAATTTATTGTTATTCAATGTTAAAAATGAAAATTAAAATCGTATCTATATGTACTATACATACTTCAGTGAGATATCAGCAATAGTTTATGATTTTATTGACGTAGTGAACGGACATGTGTTCTGATAGTTTAGAAACAATATAGTATAGAAACAATAATAAATTACAGTACATAATACTGATTAGAATTTACTACCGTAACGATTTGCTTCAGATATTTCCAGAAAAATGCTAATTTTCATGCATTTTATTTAATTTAATATCTCCGACTTGTTATTACTAAGCGAAATTTTCTCACTTTTAAATATAGAATTCTTTATAGTATTCATAATAGTGAAGCTTTAAAGTATTTCTCTCACTATCACCCTTTTTTATACAAACGCATTTTGAGAAGTAACGTGAAAGCTTACTTTCGAATTGGTGATGAATACTTATATGTATTATAATATGTATTAAATTGAACTTTTGCGTTTCAATAGAGCTTCAATCATAAATTTGAATTGTGTTTAATATTGTTGTGGTTTGTATTATTAAAACACTTTAAGGTGCAAAAATTTCAAGGGGTCATCAAATAGCAAGTTGTATATTTTATGGTATTTTAACCAGAATATTTTCTAGGACCTAGAACTTTCTAGTCAATTCAGAGTGATGATAGTGTATTTAATAATTGTTATATTTTGATATATAATATTGAATTTTTAATATTTTTTGGTTTTTATTATTTAATTAACAAGTCATGATAAACGAAAGATTTTTCAACAACAAAATCATTTGAAATCATTGAAATTGCCATTAAGTGATACAGCCCTTGAGTAATAAAAAAAAATTATTAACAAGAATGTATTTTTGAAACCTATTTTCTAACGATCTTCTTCTCGAAATTTCAGGTACTAATACTATAATTAAAATATTAAATGTTGTTCCAATTAACTTATTACAAGAAACTCGAAAACTAAATGCTTAGTTTAGC